CGTGTCGAACTGTAACTGGCTTTTACAAAATATATAGCCAACAGTTTGGTTGAGAGATTTGAGGAGAGATTCGGAAAGAGAAATGAAAAAGGTATGTAAAATGTGAATAAAACATACCTATATTTTATCTAGTTTCACACACCTTTTCCCTTTCTCTTTCCAAATTTCTCCCCAAATTCTCCAACCAAACACAGCATAAATGATTTGATGATTAGGACTCTGATAGTTCCTTACTGACAAAAGTATAATTAAGACAATCTAAAAAGAAAATCAAGAAGACGAAGTGTTCCTAATAAAAAGCAGAAAATGAGAAGTCAGCTATATTTGATTTAATTTTCAAATTTTGTTTCTAATTTTTTTTTTCTAAAATTAGTTTGGTAAAAAAATAAAATAAAATAAAAGAGAACTCATTATTTTCACTCGTGATTCTCTTTTTTGGTGTGGAAACAGTTTTTAAAAATTTTAAAATATTTTATTTTTATCATACTAGTTTCCAATTAAAAAAAATTTAAAAATAAATTCTGAAAAAGATGGAAAAGTCTTCGCAATTTTTATCCTATTCTACAATTTACTAATCTAGGATTTCCTTGAATCAAGGAAAGGAAAATGACTAAAGTTTTATAAATTCAAAATTCATCTCCCCTACCCATAAACTAATATATTTTTAATTATTATACACCAGGTCAAATATAAGAAAGAAGTCCTTTAAATCAAGGCATATAACTAAATTAGAATTTAATCTAAATCATCATTCTAATTCCCAAAAATCCTTGGCTCCCATCAATCACTCCAACCATTCAATTTTTTTAGTTTCCCATAAAAATATGTTAATATAACTATTTTTAAAATTTTCAATCATAACATGTATATGCTTATTTTATTTATATAAAGGAGATTATCCAAATTTTGGATAGCCCAAAATAATTTGATATTTTGTTATAACATCTATGGTGTCAGCATTTTTTTGCAATTAACAAATATTCAATCTCTCACTTTCTATTAGTCTAATATTTCTAAAATGAGATTGCATATATAGAACACTATCCTGCCACCACTATCACCATTCCCTCTCCACCCCAACTCCATGCCAAATGACGACTTGAAAACCACAACCAGATTAAACATATTCTTGAAAGTGATCTTTATTGCCAACGAATTTCATTACAAAACTTGGATTAAACTACTTGGGTAAACTAAGGGTTGGTTTGACAAGTTTCAAAAAAGTCAAAAAGTCACTATCCTATTTAAGTCACATCACCTCTCTGACACATCGCTTCAAACCCAACCCAAACTCAACTCATATTTCATAAAAAGTAAAAAAATACACTTATTTAGATCATCTCAAACAACCCCTAATTCTTAATAGTAGTTGAATCCGTCGTTCATTCATCTGATGTGACAGTTTTTTAAACTAATAGTTAAAATCAATCATCTGAGATATTGGTTGGTTGCATTGTTGTTTGATTTAATGCCTAATTGAAAACTGTACAAATGTTTGCGTGTAGATCTGTTGAAATGTCCATGCCTTCCAATTTAGAGCTGATATTTAATAGGTGCCACACTTGACCGATTAGTTTCCAATTTTGACCTTCCAGAATGTTGGCTCTTACTCTATTCATGGATGACTGCTATTTTAATGTTTTGGGTTTGCGTGTAGATCTGTTGAAATGTCCATGCCTTCCAATTTAGAGCAAGTCTTTATTCTTTTGCCTAGGTTTTTGTTATTTGCTGTTTTTTTTGCTAGTTTTTAGTTTGTTTTCCTAGTGTTTTTTGAGGATGTTGCTGTTTGTAGTGACGCCTATTAGGACTGGTTCTGAACTTTGTTTTATATTTCTTCTTTTGATAATAAAATTTTTATTTACTTAGCAAAAAATAAAAATAGTATTTACTCTTTTATTTATTTATTTATTTATTTTTGTATATCTCCCTATTTATTGTTGAGCCGCCTCCCTAACTTCTTTCATTTTTTATAAATGTCATATAATCATATCCTAATATCACAATTCCTCAAAATAAGCCTACACTCTTATTAATGTTTTCTCCCAAAAGTCAACTGTCTAGCCCCTCTGTATCTATTTTTTTTATCAAGCTCATGCTTATCTAATTTAATTAAAATAATGCTTCCTCTCTCTTTCACTCAGATTTTTTGCATAAACTAAATATATCCATCAAATATCTATATACATTTCTAATCTCTCATCATACGTCAGTCAACCAAATAAATTGTTCTCAAATTTTAAAATAAATTGATGAAATCATTTATATAATTTAAATTATTTTACAAATTATTGTTTAACATATTGTGTTAATTATATTTAAAGATTATTTTCAACAAAGAATCTTATAGCCAAAAAAATTTGCATCTAGAACTTGAAAAATATTTTTTATCCACCCAAAAAAAAAATATTCATGCTTTCAAATTCTATATAAATGGGTACAGTATGTCCCCATATTGAACACAACCAACACTTAGAAAAAATACCTCTTCCTCTTGGAGATGAAGATGTATCTTCCAATCCTCTTCGTCGTTTCGCTTCTCTTCTCCTACTCTCATGGTTCAGTGCTAGACTTCTGTGTGGCAGACTTCTCATTGCCCGATGGACCTGCAGGCTACTCTTGCAAGAAACCTGCTAAAAAAATATTTTTTGATTTATTAAAAAAAGTTACTCAAAAAGTTAAAAAGTTAACACTATTCATCAAAAGTCAACAATTACGGCTGCACAACTCTCAATCCTAATTTTTCCTCATAAATCAATTTTTATAATTTTTTATTACACATTTTTCTATAAAAAGTCAAAAAATTAACTCAAACATCCATATTTTCTTCCTCAATTTTTTAATCCAAAAAAATAAAAAGTACACTTATTTAGGACACTCCAAATAACCCCTAATTATCAACCACATATTGTTGATTATATGAATATCTTTTTGACAAGGCAGGATATGCTTCCTCTCTATGTTTCTGCATTTTCAAACAAAAAAGGGTATTCTTATCCATCAATAGGAATGGATAAGATCATACGCTGACACGCATCACAGCCCATAATCTGTCGTGTTTTAGCGTATTCATTTAAAATTGCATATCTCTAACAACCAAAAGGAATGCTCCAAACAAAAATATCCATGTTTTTTATCCACCCAAAAAAAAAATATTCATGCTTTCAAATTCTATATAAATGGGTACGGTATGTCCCCATATTGAACACAACCAACACTTAGAAAAAATATCCTTTCCTCTTGGAGATGAAGATGTATCTTCCAATCCTCTTCGTCGTTTCGCTTCTCTTCTCCTACTCTCATGGTTCAGTGCTAGACTTCTGTGTGGCAGACTTCTCATTGCCCGATGGACCTGCAGGCTACTCTTGCAAGAAACCTGCTAATGTGACGGTTAATGATTTTGTTTATTCAGGTTTAGGCATTGCTGGTAACACTAGCAGTCTTATCAAAGCTGCGGTTACAACAGCATTTGTAGATCAATTTCCTGGTTTGAATGGGCTTGGCCTTTCCATGGCACGTTTAGATCTAGCCGTGGGTGGAGTTGTGCCAATCCACACGCACCGTGGAGGTTCAGAAATCATTTTTGTGGTGGAAGGAACAATTTGTGCCGGATTCATATCTTCTTCGACCAACACTGCTTATTTTAAAACTCTTCACAAAGGGGATGTTATGGTTTTCCCACAAGGGCTATTGCATTTTCAATTCAATACTGGAAATATACCGGCTCTTGCGATTGTTAGCCTCAATAGCGCAAACCCGGGTGTCGACTTCACTGATGTTGCGTTGTTTGGCAACAATTTGCCTTCTGCAGTGGTGGAGAAGGTAGCTTTCCTTGATCATGCTCAGGTCAAGAAGCTCAAGGCTGTTTTTGGTGGCACTGATTAAGAAAGGCCTTTGAAGACTATTTATTTTTATTGTTATTTTTTATTATGATGGTTTCTTTTTGCAGTACTACTTAAAGAGTCTCTCAAGTCTAATGTCTTTTGTATGGGTCTTTAACATTTCCTTCTGCAGGCAAATGCATGTTTTTCTTAATAATATATCCAAAATTTGGATAATCTCCTTTACATAAATAAAATAAGCATATACATGTTATGATTGAAAATTTTAAAAATAGTTATATTAACATATTTTTATGGGAAACCAAAAAATTGAATGGTTGGAGTGATTGATGGGAGCCAAGGATTTTTGGGAATTAGAATGATGATTTTTGATTTAGTTATAATAAAATACCTGGTTAAAAGCATCAATATAATCAAATTCTAATTTAGTTATATGCCTTGATTTAAAGTACTTCTTTCTTATATTTGACCTGGTGTATAATAATTAAAAATATAATAGTTTATGGGTAAGGGAGATGAATTTTGAATTTATAAAACTTTAGTCATTTTCCTTTCCTGGATTCAAGGAAATCCTAGATTAGTAAATTGTAGAATAGGATAAAAATTGTGAAGACTTTTCTATCTTTTTCAGAATTTATTTTTAATTTTTTTTTAATTGGAAACTAGTATGATAAAAATAAAATATTTTAAAATTTTTAAAAATTGTTTCCACACCAAAAAAGAGAATCACAAGTGAAAATAATGAGTTCTCTTTTATTTTATTTTATTTTTTTACCAAACTAATTTTAGAAAAAAAAAATTAGAAACAAAATTTGAAAATTAAATCAAATATAGCTGACTTCTCATTTTCTGCTTTTTATTAGGAACACTTCGTCTTCTTGATTTTCTTTTTAGATTGTCTTAATTATACTTTTGTCAGTAAGGAACTATCAGAGTCCTAATCATCAAATCATTTATGCTGTGTTTGGTTGGAGAATTTGGGGAGAAATTTGGAAAGAGAAAGGGAAAAGGTGTGTGAAACTAGATAAAATATAGGTATGTTTTATTCACATTTCACATACCTTTTTCATTTCTCTTTCTGAATCTCTCCTCAAATCTCCCGACCAAACATAGCATTAGTATTGTTTGTTGACATAAATAAAGCTTCCAGTATGAATTGAGAGTCAAATTGAAAAAAATGCTGAAACTTAAAGGGGGTAAAGCCTTTTATCCTATTACAATTATTTAAGTATATATGTTGTCTTCCACTAACCTAATGAATATTGGTGAACTATCGCACAGAATTACTATTATACCCAATATTTACAACTAACTAGGAGGACTTTTAGTATTAGTTATGAAAATTGGTACCTAATTTTGTCTTACTAATGCAGCCATAAGTATAGGCAAGTTCCTTTATTTTCTATATTTGGTTGTTTTCTATTGATTGTTACATGACCTTTGAGTATGTTTTACCCTATAGACTCTCAACTAAGAGATCAAAGGGTCATCAACAAAGATTGAATTGGTTGTTTCTTCTCTATAAGGGGACTCTTTCTTATGTTCTTTATTTTTTTTTCCCTACTTTGGAGCTCTTTCTTATATTGATATGATATGTTGAGCTTATAGGTAATATACGTTGTTGTACTTTCTTAAATAGTTGATTGTCTAGTTTGATATAATAACTCTTGAAATTTGTAAATAATGACAAGACAAAATATAATAATTTTCAGGTAAACATTACTTCCAATGGCTGGGCCCAACACCACAAGTAAGTATTGCAGATCCTAAACTGATAAAGGAGATCTTGTTTAACTATGAAGTCTTTCATAAAAAAGTGCAAAACCCACTTGCCAAGTTCCTAGTGAGAGGGGTTTTGATGTGTGAGGGCGAGGAATGGGCTAAGCACAGAAACATTCTCAACCCAGCCTTTCATCTAGAAAAGTTGAAGGTAATTAATCTCTAATCTCAGCTTTTGTTTAAACACAATTGGATGCATATATAATATGAGAATGTGTGTTTGGATGAATTTTAAAACTTTTGAGAAGAGCAAAATTTTTTTATACCTAGCCATTGATTTTCCTTTGTTATCCATTTGTTTTTTCATTTTTGTTTAGGAACAACAACAAAGACTAAACCCATATCCATCCATTCCGTTAACACGAGTAACTATTCAATAGTCCCAGACAACCACGTGGTATTATTCGCATAGTGCTCCTAATTAATGACATAGCGGAAAATTTCACTAGTGAGACAATGTTGATCCATCTTTATTAGGTAGTCGAGAGACAAAGAATAAACTACTTAGTGTATTATTCTATTCCTCATTTGTTGGAAGCATTAAGTAATATAACTCGTGATATTCTGAGACTACTAATAATTTTTTGTGCTAACAGTTTATTATTGCGCTACAATTGTTTATATTGTTTATTGAACCTCAACAATGCCTCAACCTAAACTTGATGCCTTCTTGAGCTGTGCTTAACTATGTCTTTTATGTTTGTTATATAGCACATGGTACCAGCAATGTGCTTAAGTTGTTGTGAGATGATAAGCAAATGGGAAGTGCTAGTCTCAGAAAAAGAGTCATGTGAGGTTGAAGTATGGCCTTATCTTCAGAATGTGACAGGCGATGTGATTTCTCGGACAGCATTTGGTAGTAACTATGAAGAAGGAAAAAAAATATTCCAACTCCAAACTGAACTAGGTGACCTTATAATCCAATTCGCACAGTCAATTTACATTCCAGGATGGAGGTATGTCTGAAATATATTTATTTATATATATTAGTACTATTGCATTACAATTTCAGCTACTTGCCAATTCTAAGTTACTCTACAAGTACAATTAGAATTACTTTTTTCTTTTTATCAGCAAAAAAGTAATATTTTATTAATGATAATAAAACATTTACAAAAAACACAAGTGAGAATTACTTTCTTTTCTTTTTCACCAACCTACTCTAGAAAATTATTTTCCTATTGTTGAGCATGTGTTTTGTATTCTACAGTGCCCATACAATCTTTTAGTTTTTCTTTTAATACAATGTCTTTAAATTCAGAATTCACCAAGAATCCAATGTGTGAAATTTTTTAATTGTATTGGAATTAAGATTTCTAGATTGAAAATTGAAAAATTTGTGGGAATTCTAGGGAGAGAGTAACAGAGAAGGGTTGGCTTGCAAAGAGATGAAAGTGAGTTTGTACTTTTCAATTGATGCAATGGAATATTTTTCTCTCTCAAAATCTCTATTCATTTTTCTCTTTGATATGTGCGTGCAATTGTGTTCTTTTTTTTAAAAAAAAAAAGAAAATTTTAATAACTCAATAATGAAGTACATCAAGAAAATAAGGATTAAGAAAAAAGCTTTATAACTAAGCAGCATATCCCAACTAAGTTAACACACATACCTTTAGCAAATCTTAAGCTTCTTCCAGAACCCCACGGCATGTAACTTCAAGTTGGCAACTACAAACCAACAGTAATTGTGCTTTTGTTTATGTGCACAAGTGTGAATCACAACACATACCTAATATCTTCATCTACATAAAGATTGAATATAGGATTGTAATGTAGACTAGCATTTTAATAGATATTAAACTAAAATGCTAAAAGCATTGATTTTCATATTTTCAAACCAAAAAAAAAAAATTTAACTAAAAGCTTAGTTTCATCTAGAAAAAGTAGAAAAAATTCCAATGGTTGAAGAAAAATACTTTTATCTGCCCACTTGCATATGATGCTTCATTTTGTTTTAAAGAAAATAGTGGAACTTTGCTAGTCTTTCCGTCCCAAGTAATACCAATCACAAAGGTTGAACTTATTTGAGTCCTTTTTTTACGTCTTCAATATCACTGAGATTTACTTGATTGCATGTAGGTTTCTACCAACAAAGAAAAACACAAGAATGAAAACAATCTATAATGAAGTGAGAGCTCTACTAAGCAATATTATCCAAAAAAAAGAGCAAACATTGAAGGGAAATGATGGAGATAATGACTTGTTAGGAATACTATTGAAGACAAATTTAAAAGAAAGTCAAGTACAGGGAAACAAGAAGAACATCAAACTGACAATGGGAGAGGTAATCGAGGAGTGCAAGCTATTCTACCTTGCTGGGCAAGAGACCACCTCAACTTTGCTTGTGTGGACAATGATCTTGTTGAGTAAGCATCAAAAGTGGCAAGCTCTAGCTAGAGAAGAGGTTTTAACAGTATTTGGGGACAACAAACCAAGCTATGAAGGGTTAAATCCATAGTTGTCAAATCGGGATTCGTATCGTGAATCGAAATGGCCTCGTACCGAATCGCGAATCGAATCGAATCGTGAATCGTAAAAATTTGGTCACTTTTTCTAAATTACTTAAAAACATATATCTAAACATTTAGATGTTAAATATATCTTATGAATATAAAATATTTAGACTTAAATCAACAAAAATATTATTTTGAATGATAATCACATAATTTAATAGGTAAGAAGTTGACAAAGGTTCCTATGTAAAATCACCATCTTACTCTCTTTTTTTTTTATATATTTTTTATCAGCCATTCTTGATAAAGATAATAACCAAATAGACAAACTATTAATTTATAAAGTAACAATAGTTAACAACGATATTGATATTTAGACAATAAGCATATATACTTTTCTAAGTAAGAGCGAGAAAATAATAAGAAAGAATTATTTAGGATATTTTATTTTAAAGCCTAAAACATTTTAAAAGATATAACTGACCTCGCACATATAATATTCAATTTAATAAAATAGTAATAAATAATTCATAGTGTAACTTTAATCTTAAACATCTTTAGAAGATATATTACAATTTTTTGAAGGGAAAAAGAATGAGAAGAAAGGTTAAAAATATGTTAGGTCTGACTGAATCTGATTGGATCCTATAAAAAACTCCATGATCACTAAAATAACAACAAATCATATATATATATATGTTGGTTATTTTGGTATTAAATATTATTAGAAGTTGTATTATGTCATTTTCACTAAAAAGATAAAAAAAATGAGTCGAAAATATGTCGAACACAATAATTAAAAAATTACATGAATCATAAAAAGTGAATTGAATCGTGAATCGATTGTGAATCGTGCGATTCACCAGAGATTCACTTCTAAAATAGATTCACTCATAGATTCGTATCGATTTTGCAAAAATTGCGTATCGAATCGTGAATCGAATCGCGAATCGTAAGATTTTGATAACAGAGGTTAAATCAACTCAAAATTGTGAGTGTTTTCTATATAGATCAATTTTTTGAAATTTTTCTCAAATTAGTAGGATTGACTACCGCAACTATTTTTTAGCCTCTCATAAAGGGAGAGTGAGAATCTATGAAGTACCGACACTTCAAAACAAGTGCCATATCCATGTTGGACACATGGACAGTTCAGGGACACATATGAGGCACACCACATGGATGCGTGTCCTATTATTTAATTAATTTATTTTCAGGAGACACACTAAGAACATGGCAAGTTGTCTTTTTTTTAATTTTATTTAGTACTTTTAATGAATGTTGAATGTTTATTATTTTTTTCTTAGATTTAAATATTTAATAAATCATCCATAAAAAAAGATATAAACTATAAGTGTTAATTTAAAAAAAAAATTTAATTAAAAAAATATAATTAAAGTTAATTTTTGTTAATATTAATTGTTTATAGATGTAATATTGTTCGAGATAACAAATAAAAATATATGAAAGTATATTTCATTATCGTGTCCCCGCCGTGTCTGTGTCCCCATATTTTAAAATCGCCGCATCCTGTGTCCGCATCCGTGTCCATATCTATATCCATATACGTGTCCGTACTTCTTAGGTGAGAATGGACTGTGAAAATGCTAATAGGATTGATTAGTGATGAAAAAGAGGAGTAAGTGTTAAGTAAATTGAAACCTTATGAGAGCCCAATGTAATTATGCTGAAATTGTTGGACTCGATGTATTTCCTTCAAGCTTAAAAAAGATATTAGAGTAATTTACCCTAATAAAAAATAGTGGGCTAACATTGATTTCCTTGGTCACATGACATTTAAAAAACTAAAGCTTTCCAAGGAGGTGATACTCGGGAAATATGCAACATTTTAGTAAGATCTACAAAAACTTTTTTTTTTTAAAAAAAAAAAAATTGTGAAGAAAGAGATTTTACTAACCCAAAATAAAGAAATACTTTGAGATAATAAAAATTTGGAAGAAGATTTCATTTCTACATGATATATACCAACCATGTTCACACACACTTAAAGCAATTTACAACCTCTCTCAAAACCCCCCAAAAAAACACTTACACAGGTTGGCATATCAACAAAAATCTAGGCACATAAACAAGGCACCACAGGAAGAAGACTTCCATGAACATATACATTGCAACAAGCACAGGACTAGCTTATTCATTAACATATTACATAAGCAACATAACCAAGAGTGACTTTTTTGTTCTGTTTATTTTTTTATCTTATAACCCAGGACACAACCCCTTTCAAGTTTGATTAACCCTTTTCAAGTTAGATTAGACAAGCCCTAGGCAAACTCTTAAGAGGGGCCCTTTCACATATTTACCCTCAAAACAAAAGTTTGGGTAAAATGGTACAAACAAAAATAAAAATTAGAGGCTACTCCATTAAGGCACACAAATTTGAGCAAACCAAAACAGAGACTAGGGCACACAAATTAGGACAAATAATATGTTTTCAGAAACTAGAGCCCAACAAAATCAGAGATTTCCATTAAAGCATATAAATTAGAGATTATTCCATTAATGCACAAATATTAGGGCACACAATTAGAGATTAAATTAGGGCAACAACTATGTTCTTCCATTAAAATCTGATAAAGAAAGAGAGAGGAAGCACTCACCGGCGGACATGGCTGTTCGAGTCTTCGCTGATGATCGCTAGCTGAGCTTGAGTCGCTGCTCTCGAGTTCTAATATGGCTGACTGAGAAAAGAAGAGTTTGTTCTGGATCTCGAATTCCTCGTTTTGGGTTGGGCCCTTCAGATTGGCCAATCTGAATTTTTACTTATGAATTTGCTGAGAGCCCTATTTTGAATCTAAACTTTGGCCCACCTAGTTGGATTAGACATCCAAATCTGAAAATAATAAGATAAGATGCACTATTTTTCATCACTGAATTGAAATGAAAATTGTACCTCTTGTAATTTCATTTTATCCAAGCCTTAGGTCCAAATCTTATTCCATTAAAATACTCATTAACTCTCTATCAAATGCCATGAACTCTATAGTCAACAATTCTAAGCATATCAACAAGAAAATCTAACATTACTGAACGTTGTTCTTCTACATTAGAGCAAAGCAACCTATTTGCAAGAGTAAGCTTAAGAAAATGAAAATCGATCACAAAATTGAATAGTTATACGTTGATGGATAAGGTTTTGCAAGGAGAATTTGTTAGTGTTGAAACAATCTTCTGTGTAAATAAAATAAACTGAAATAAATTCAAACAAAATAAAGTAAAACTTACAGAAAATATTTTGTTGAACCAAACAAAAATAAAAAAGACCAAGTCGAGTGTGTGACACTCTCT